GCATAAGAAGTGCAGCACTCAAAGATATATAGCAAGTACCGAGTGCATGTCCTATTCGAAGAGTCGAGAAGGATCCATGAAGCAATTAGGATCACATGTCCGAAGACGAGCGTGAGCAAGTCAAGGATGATCCAAGCAGCGCCAAAGGATCACATTTTCAAACCTTCCATTTTTCAACTTTTGCCTACATAGCATGCCAACCTAAAGGGCAATCGAGAGACCATTGTCAATAAGTATGAACAGTGTTGGGAAACACATCTACTTGCATACAACAATGCAAACATGGCAGCTATCCTATGAAAAATCCTAGCAGACATAGGCAATCTTCTGGGTACAAGACACAACATTTGAAACAGCCCTCTGACCAAGGGCATCCTATTATTTGGCAGCTTTGAGCGCCACCATCGACCTGAGCATGTCACAAAACTGCATCACTAGGCAGCTTTGAGCGCCACCCTATGACGTCATTCAAGATCACAGATCGATCTGAAAGGCCTATCTCAAGCCAATCATAGATCAACTTTCAATTATGATCGATCAATCAAACCAATACGTCATAAACACAACTATAGGCACTCCTTGGCATCAGAAAGCTAATACCTCTGCCTGCGACATCGGGTATGTAGGACCAAGATCTGAAAAGCCATAATCATGCCGACCAATGACCTTGGCACGTCATTAAACTGTTCAAATTTTGGCAGCTTTGAGCGCCACGAATGACCAAGTGCATGTCTTTAAACTGCAAGCCCTTTTGCACACTATCTTGGGCAACAGCAGCCAATAGCTCTATCTGCGATGTCAGACATCTAGGACCAAGAACTGTTAACCCCACAAGTGCACCATTTACCTGAGCAAGTCATTAAACTGCATCACCCCTTTTTGCTGCTAGCAAAAGTCTTAGATGCCATTCACACAACACACCCTGCCATTCCACCCTGGAAGTCAGAACCTGAAGCGAGGGTACCATTTACCATAGCATTTATTCAGTTCATCCGGAGTCTGAACCTTGAAGCGGGGGTAGTGTCACAGTATTAAGTGGCACCTTTCTTTTTGCACCATTAAAGTCCTCATTTGAGTGGTTATTCGGACGCCAACCTTCATATTGGTCTCGCAACGTGGATACTTAGACAAACAGCATAATGTCGCCACATACATCACAGACATGACTGTGTCTACCACATGACCACCAAGCGCCCATGATTCAGCCACCCAGTCA